TACAAAAGATTGTTCAGAATTGAACGACAAAGACCTCCACATTCAGTGTCAATAAATTAACGGTATATGCAGGTACTCACCAAAGTATCAGAGACAACAATTCATCGTATAGGGAGGAATACGAAAAAGAAGTGAAATATGTAAAACCAACGGATTTGTGGGCAAAGACTTCCAAACCGCGGATGGTACGAAAATTCTAACAGAAGGGACACAGACCAATTTATAGCCGTGTCAGGTATATATTGAAATGCAGCTAAAAGTCTTTTTTATATTTAGTTGTGCTCATTTATATTGTAGCGTTTTTCTGGGTTCTTTTGGGTGTGAAAAACACTCGATTCCACAAAAAGAAATGCACTAACTTGATAAAACATTTATATACACCACTATTTATGTCTGACTAATTCTTATGTCACCATTGACTGCACTATTTCACTCCGCTCTGCTACTCTACCGTATTCAGTACTCTGCTCCATCTACCGGCCGCCGAGTTATATATAGTCCCAATTGCTGCTTCGAGAAAGACCACAAAGCGACATCTAGAATATTGGAGATCTCTTCGCGTCGATCTAGAAGGCGACCCACTGTCACGGTCCTCACAGACGCCGCCAGGCGGCTTGTGCGGCCGCGTAAAAGCAGAGATCGGTCATTAAGCTCCGGCGAGTAGGAGACTCGCCCAACAGATGGCGCTATTTGTCACAATATATTGTCTGTTTGATATCCAAATACCAAACTAAGGGTAATCAAATGTACCCAAAAATCATGATAGCAATGTTTACGTGGGAACAGAAGATAAGAAAATATAGTCAGTGACTTTAGTGTTACACCCAGAAGAAATTATTTATTCAGCTTAATTTTTTGGCAATGAGGTAGTCTTACATCAAGAATGAAACGATAACATTCTCACGAGATTTTGTTGACAAGCAATAAGAAAAAAATTAATAACGTGTTGGGCGACCGCACAGCTGAATACACTCCTGCATACGTCTAAAGATCGAGAAAATGAGATGATCGATGCCTGGTTATGCCACCCCATTCCAAGCAACTCGAACTTCGTAAATTAGGTGAGGCGGAGTCTGTGGCGGATGGTGCAAAGTGGATAGTCTACTCCCCATCATATACCACACATGTTCGACGGGATTTAAATCCGGTGAACGGGGAGGCTACGGTAATATATTAACGCCTGCTTCTTGGAAAAAGTCAGGGGTACGACGGGCAATATGGGGCGTGCGTTGTCTTGCTGAAAAAAAAGACGTGGCAGGACCCTAAATGCCAGGGCGCCGCGGCTACTACTCGATACCCTATGGATGAAGGAGCGGTCGTATTGACCAGTTTTGGATGTACGAACTTCGACACGGTTAGGATGGGAGGCCAAAGTCAGGCGGGTCTGTCTGGCAGGCAAATCGCGCGGCGGTATCATGGAAGAGAGCTATGAGGAGCAAAGCCGTTGTTGTGGCGGTAGAAGAGAGCTAGATCGCCGGTCCGCCGGTAAGAAAGGGTTCCAAGACTCTCTGTTAGAGAACATTCGTCGATTAGTCGGACAGCCCTCCTCTGGACAGCATCGAGCATAAATGATGTAGTGGGGGCGGCAGCACCCCAAATCTGTGAGCAATGCTCAAGGCTAGGCCTTATCTGGGCCTTGTGTAGAGTGAAAGGGTCATGCGAAGAAACGAATTCTTTAACCACAAGAAGTTTGCATAAGAAGGCAGGCTTACACCTCAGTTACGTTACGTATTGTAATTTAAGGGTCCAATGCTAGAACCGGCCAAGTCCATTTTTTAGGTGGATTTAGTTAACATCATGTTTTTACCCAGTTTAAAATTATCTATCGGGCTGTATAAAAACGAGACATGTAACCCTAGCAATTTATTTGGTTTCCTGCTTTCTCAAATGTTCTAAAAACAAGTCAAGTCTAGAAATTTGTTTGCACTCCTGTAAAATTATAAAAAATTGACTTAACTGGTTCTAGCATTGGGCCCCTCAATTGTGAAAAATTATTATGCTTCTTGAATATTACACGACGTGTTGAAACGAAATGGCGAATTTTAATAAAAAAACAACTTTGAAGTTCCTATTTCTCTGGCTACAGCTTAAATCGCTTAGTCAATTTTGACGTAAGAGATGTCTCTAGATTTCTCTTGAGAGCATCATTCTTTTCAATTACTGCAGTAGGGTTGTTTGTATTTTTCAAAAATGTACTTGTTATAGATGAGCGTAGTTCACTTTTCTTGTGGGAGGGGATAAATTCTCACACTTAGCAGCTACTACTCCACGTTACATATACAGGGTGTCCCCAAAATTGGGGTTTTCCTTTACACGACGTGTAGATCTTGAAAACATAAGCAATTTTTCTTAGTACCATATACACCAAAGTCTCAAGGGAACCGAGATAAAGGGCTCTGCAACATCAAAAATATCTGAATACCGTCCTGTAGCCGCGACATCCCCGACTGGTACAAGGTCACTGGCTCAACCCGACGACAGAACTGGGTCGGAGTCAGTGTGTCAGGTCAGTATGCAACCTTCAACCGACGGTTACGGTCACACGTCTAGAGGTAATCGCGTAGACGAGAATCCCTCAACAAGCACTACAGACGTGGCTAGAGAAGTGCAAGTATCAAAAACTAAAGTGTGGCAAACGCTGCGTGAAGAGGGGCTGTATCCGTTTCACGTCCAACGTGTACAAGGCGTTCAACCTGACGATTTTCCAGCAAGAGTGCGGTTTTGTGAGTGGTTGTTGCATTAACATGACAATAATCCGGACTTTTTGAAGTGCATATTGGTGACAGACGAATCTACGTTCACGCGTAATGGGGTGAATAACTTTCGCAACACTCATGTTTGGTCAGTAGAAAATCCGCACGCTGTCCGCCGGGCACATTTTCAACAAACATTTTCGGTGAATGTTCGGGCTGGCATGGTGAACGGTATGCTCATTGGACCATTTATTCTCCCAAATCGATTGGACGGGATGCAATACCTAGACTATTTACGCAACATTTTACCTTCCTTGTTTGCCTGCGTCTGCTCGGTAGCGCATCAACTGATTTCATTGTCTGTTGGAGCGGTATGATTTCGGGCAGAGACGTACTTAGCCCTTCTCGTCAACTAGAGAGTGAGTACTTGTTCCTTTATTTTTTTTACTTGGTCGTTCTCGTTTCACTACACATTACCTTTGTTATTTCAGGGGTAGTTGTTTCTGAAAAGGAAAACCTTAACTTTGCGGACACCCTGTATATATATATCTCAATTGCTTCGGTAAGGGTTGACATCAAACATGAGCGCCTGCAGGAATTTTTCTTAGGCGGGCCGATGATCGGAAAGACATAACTTTTTGTGAAAGTGTACCTGTCCCAAAACTTTCTGGAAGAGCGGGGGGTAGCAAATTTTCCTAGGGAGGGCAAATCCTTAAAACCTCCAAAATTGTACACAAGTCATGCTAAATATGCAAATTTTAAGGTCCACATTCTCAGGGGAGCGCCTGCCCACCTCACGCTCGCCCTCCTCGTCGTGCACCCATGGCATGAAATTTTGAAATGAACCAAAGATAATCAGAGTCAATGTATACTAAGTGACATATACATCCGAACACCCAGTTTAAATGGTTTTATTTTAATAAAATTTTGTATAAGTACTTAATGAAGCATAATAAGTGAATGATAAAAATTTCAAAATGATTGCACTGCTTTAAAGCCCTTTGACCTTTAATAATGTGTGGATGCACACTGATGTGCTACGCATTCTCCAACGCGCCTAGGCATGCTTCTGATCAGGTGGTCAATGTCCTCCTGTGGTATCAATATTCCAGCCAACCACCAACTCCTCTCGAAGTGCTTCTAGAGTCTGAGGAGGACGTTGCAAAGTGAGCAATCTCCTACCCATCATATCCCACACGTGCTCAATTGGGGATAAGTCGGGAGATCTTGGTGGCCATGGTAACAATGTGACATCATTATGTTGAAAGAAGTCTATTGTGACTCTTTCAACATGTGGTCGGGTATTATCTTGTTGGAAAGTTGGATCTGCAAGGGTGTCAAGATGGGGTTCTAGTTCGTGGATATAACGCTGCGCGTTCATGTTACCTCTGATGAAGATTAAAGGTGACCTGGAACCATAAGCTATAGCACCCCAAACCATAACTCCAACAGTGTGATGAACATGTCTTTCAACAAAAAACTGTGGATTCCTCCTTTCACCACGTCGCCTTCTAACCCTGGCACGACCATCGTGCATGCCTAAACAAAATCGAGACTCGTCACTAAAGACAATACTGTTCCATTCCTGATCCCAGAGTGACCGTTGTCTGCACCACTCAAGGCGATTACGTCGGTGTTCTCGAGTTAAAGGGAGGACCCAGTGTGGCCGGTATGAAAACAAGCCAAAACTTCTCATTCGTCGGTAAACACTTCGCATGCCAATAGGTCTTCCGTGTTCTGCAAACCATTCACTTGCAATGGACCTGGTAGTGAAGAAACGGTCCCTTAAGGCCAATAATCTTAGGCGGCGATCTCCACGGTCTGTTTTTCTACGGCGGCGTCCAGTGCCCCTTGCTCTTTGCGTACGGCCTTCTCGAAGCCATGCCTGACAACACCTAACCACAGTGTCTACACTTCTTTGCACTCTAACTGCAATTGCCCGAAAAGAAAGTCCAACTTCCCGAAGTCCCACTATACGGCCCCTATCAAACTCACTAAGTTGACGAAATCGTACAGGTCTCCGTACTCTAGGCATCGTAAACGATCGTAAAGGATGTCAAGAACCAAAATCCGCCAACGTTGATTCTTTACTGCGGCTGAAATATTCATTTTTAGAGCGTTAGTGAATTAAAAAAAAGCAGTATAAAAACCGGAATGTCCAACTGATAAGGCTGAAAATTTTTTCACTTGTTATTTACAGTAAGACAAATACATTCACCAACTTTTATTAAAATAAAACCATTTAAACTGGGTGTTCGGATTTATATGTCACTTAGTATATTTGACGCCTTTTTCTCTTTGTTACAGGCCAAGAGCAAGAAGAAAATACATAATAGCCCCAGTGATACTAGTGATAGTGATAGTAATTTTAGTGTTAGCTTTTACGACGAATGTATTCTCGAAGAAGACTCACGGGGTATTGGTACCTCCGAATCCGACCAAGCCTCTACCGCCGTCTGCTTCCACACTGCACGTGATGGATAAAGGAGCCATTTGTGCAGATGGTCCACCCTGTGCAGAAATTGGAAAGTAAGTGAATCATGCAGCATGCCTATTTTGCAATTTGATACGTATTTATGTATGATAGCACAAACAATCTAATTGAATGGTATGTTCTAAATTAACTGGGTGGATACAATAGTCAATTTTGCTGATGATGCAGCAATACTACATGAAGGACAACACAAAAAAATCATTCAGTTGTTCACTACTAGAAAATTAACCGCGAACTTTGGAAAAACGCATTTTCTACCCTTCAATCGTCAGTTGTTCCTACAATAAGATTGTAGCACGCCTTTATGACCTTTATGGTCTTTTCTCTCTTTCAGAAAGGTTGGGGTATTTCTAAATTTCTACTGTTCCGTGTCAGCGTCAGCGCTCTCCTATTGTGAGGTTACGTTTTCTTTTTGAATCTTAACAAATTTCAGGTTGATAAAAATCAAGTTTCTTCTAAACGTTATACAAAAAAGTTCAATTGATAGCGGGACTTTTTAATCTATTTTGAGCTGACCTGTTCATATAAGCTAGATACCATTCTGCCAAATCCCATGTTCATGGATCAAATAGTTTTCGAGATTTTGTGACTGATGTCTGGATCTTTTCGGTTTTACATAATTATATCTGCCCTTGTTCCCCTTAATCCAACCTTGGCGTAAAATCTGTTCTCAGTTGGCATTTCTTGTCCATAAATGACCAGCCCCTTCCCACTTCAGTTGGCCCAACTATTGAAATCTTAGTTTTTTTCTTATCAAACACAAATAATAAAAATGTAGCAGGGTCTTATACGTTTAAAATATTAACAATGAATATTTTGATAATATATAGTAGAACTTTATCACTCCTTAATCAAATTTGCAGCATAAAAATTACAGCAATTACAGCATATCAACCTATTTTCATTTCAATGCAAAATAAGTCTATAACGCATAGGTGGCTGTGAAAAATAAAAATAAAAGCCATGGCAATTGTTTTTATTAGTAACAGCTGTCTGAATACGTCTAAAATAGTTTTGGGTAGTTCAGGTTTTCAAAATGGGTAGAGGAAAGGTTATTAGTGAGAAAATTCGGTTACTGATAATTAATTTTTTTAATTCTGGGAAATCAAACTCAGAAATTGCAAAAAAAGTAATATCACAAATGCCGACCGAAGAGCATTAAGAAGAATAATCGTGAAAAACACGCGTGCCAATTATTTACAATTAAGTGCTCTGTGGAGTGACGCTGTTGGAAGGAAAATTTCGAGGTCCTCAACTCATAGAGAGGCCCACAAACTGGGATTTAGCACTTGCAAGGTAAAGTTTTCTTATAAAAAAAATAAAGTAAAAACCCTAAAGTTGCACAACTTATTTATAGGCCAAAGAAAAGCCACTGTTAACTCGACTGCAACAGAAAAATCTGCTTAGATGGGCTAAAGAACATAGACAATGGACACCTCAACAATGGTGTGCTATACAATGAGTCCCGATTCGAAGTTTGTGTTGGTGACAGTCGCAGTAGAGTTATTCGCAAAAAAATGAAGCATTCCATGTTGACTGTCTGAAGAGAAAACTGAAATTTCCAGCATCCATTATAGTCTGGGGCAGTATGTCATCAAAAGGAGTAGGAAAACTTCATTTTATTGATGGAAATGTGGATACAAACAAATATTTGGCAATTTTAGAAGAATCGCTTTTACCAGTGATGGAAGAATGTTTGACATCTGGCCAAGATTTTGTGTTTCAGCAAGATGGTGCAGCGTGCCATACCTCAAAAAAGGCTATAAAATGGATGGAAGAAAATAATGTACCACTTTTGAAATGGGTTTCTAGCAGTCCAGATCTGTCACCTATTGAAACTTTGTGGCACGAGATGAAAAAGGTTCTACGACAACATCCTGCTCGTACAATCACCGAACTGAGACAAAAGCTTCAGGAAATATGGGATTGTTTTACACCAATTTTTTGCCAAAACTTGGTTAACACTATGCAACAAGAATTTCAGCCGTAATAAAAAATGAAGGTGATGTTAGTCAATGGTAATCTTTCAATTGTTGCTTTGTTAACTTCGCGCATTTATTCGCACATTGTTTATTTGTTCAGATGTTCTATTAGTTATAGGTCTAAGTGATTTCAAATATGTATTTTTTACGACTAGAGTATATCTAAAATGTTTTTGAGAAAACAAATTGTTTTAGAAGTAAATAGTTTCGTCCTGTTTAGTTTATAAAGGCATATTTTGGTACAAATCTTGAAGTTTGCCAACTGAAGACGGAAGGGGCTCGTATACCTGCTTATTTACATTATATCACACATACAAAACATAAAAAAACAATATCTGTATCCCTAACTCAACGGATAATAACCGAGATAAAAGAATTTGGTTTATTTTTCAATCTTCCTGGACACAAATCCTGAGTCACCAATCCACTCCCCACCCCGCAAATAAAATTTCAAGTTCATCAGATGGGCACTCCTCCAAAATATTTCTAGATCCGCCTCTGTTATTAATTTAAATCGGTTCAGCAGTTTTGCTGTGAAAACGGAACGTATACTTTACATACTTTCGCATTTGAAGTAGAAAGTGTTACGATCATGGGCTCATACAAAATTGCCAAGTTAAAATAATGTAAAGTGAATAAATTTTGGACAAAGAATTCAACTTATAAAAAATAAACACACCTAACGGCCCAAGGTTATTTCCGCTTGAACAAAGATTGAATAGAATCTGAAGGTGATTGGCGATTAGTAAACAAATACAAACGCTTTGTTCGAGCTTATCAGTCCCACAAATTCTATAAATAAAACACATTAGTAAAGTGAAACACTTTAATATACTCAACATTACAAAAATATTCTGTAAATCATGAATAATAAATTATCAAAACACAAGCCAACCACACATACAATAAAGAAATGCAATTCAATGAACACAATCCTTTATTCCGGCCTTTACGCGATAGAACATGGCCGCTAGACTGGGTTTTTGCAGCTCATTTTCATGAAAAATCACAGTTCGCAGTACAAAAATTGTCCATAGAAGTCCGTTATGTCGCCCACTCAAACCTCAAACGCACTCAATTTTCACTCTCGGACTTCCTCGCTGTTCGGACTGGTGACGTCGACGAATGCCCCTTCTTGTTTTTCTCGGTGTTCATCATTTTGGTCAGAAGTTTTCTGGAATGTCCTGAGGGGTCGAAGTGGTTGGTATGCTCCTCGGCTTCTTTCTTACTCCTTTGTTTTCCACTGTGTCCGGAAAAGATGTACTTGTCGTACTCGTAGTTGTATCTATCGTACTGGTCGGCTGCTGTGTCGGTGGACATGATTTTCTCACTGGTTTCACTCGAAGTAATTTTCACTGTCACGGATGACGTTTATTTTAGAGAACTACGATTGCCTTGAACGCTTGTAACTCGCACCTGCGATTCGCTCACCCAATTACGAAATTCTGCGGCAACCGATCGGTCGTCGGTATTTATAGGCTGCGCGGCGGTGGCGTGTTGTTGGAAAAAAACAGGCTGAACGCCACGCGTAGTTGTCAGATTTTCGTCGATTTATTGTATGAGTAGGACTTCTAGAACAAAGAGTTGTAACAATGGGAGACGCGAGGACAAGTGCGTACTATAAAATAGCCAGCTTCTGTCTCTTTCAAACATGCGTTGATACACACCACACACCACACAATTGTCTTGTGCTGAGGAGCTGTGTGGTTCCTTTTTGATCTAACAATCAGATGATGAGCATCTTTAGGAGGTATGAAATGTTAATCAGACCTGGAAGATTTGAATTGTTAAATCAAGAGCAGATCCAGAAATCATGCTAAGGGTGACGCAGTGCATGATGGTCTCAGGATTTATGTTCAGATGTTCGTAACGACTATTTAAAACTGACTTATTCTAAGGGCGAATGCCTTAGTGATGGGCTGGGCGCATGTCTTGGCTTGAGACTTCCTTGGAAACAACGGATTTTGAGGAACGTTCAAGAGAGGGTTTAAATTTTCATTTCATTCCATTTTCATTTGTAACAGCTGTCATCGATGTCAGAAATATTTTCCTTTGCTGGCCGTATCTACATATTTAGCATTTTGATGACAACATTGGGACTGTTTGGTTTAATTGTACTTAAATTTCAATAAACAATAATAACATAAACATAATAATATGTTTGCTTCCTCGAACTACAGCGCAATCACAGAGAAGTAAGAAACTGAGTATAGGCAACCAGGCGCACCGAACTGCTATACTGCTGCTATCTGTTTTTATTTTCAATTAGCCCTTTAAATCTGTGTAATATCTCGATCGAATGCATCTCCTCCTCACTCAAATTCTTTTTTTTTTTCATATTCACACATTATAATTTATAATAACATAAAATTGGAGTGTAGAATGTCTTTTTTTTGTGAAGTAGAATCTGACATACGTCATCTATAATTTGCAACCAGCAGAGCAGTTCGGTGCAACTAATTGCCTATATTCGCTATTTCACTTCTATGTGATTGCGCTGTAATTCGAGGAAGCAAACACGTTATTATTTTGCATTGTTCGTTGATATTTCGAACACATGAACCAAATAGTCTCAATTTTATCATCAAAATGCTAAATGGATACTGCCAGCAAAGAAAAATACAGGGTGTCCGCAAAGTTGGGGTTGTCCTTTTCAGAAACAACTACCCTTGAAATAACAAAGGTAATGTGTAGTGAAACGAGAGCGACCAAGTAAAAAAAAATAAAGGAAAAAGTACTCACTCTCCAGTTGACGAGAAGGGCTAAGTACGTCTCTACCCGAAATCATACCGCTCCAACAGAAAATGAAATCAGCTGATGCGCTACCGAGCAGACGCAGGCGGTGGTGCAGACCACGAACAGAGGTAACAAATATGACGGCGTTGCCGCGTTTTCAGTTTTTAGGTAAACGTACTTTATAGGTATTGTTCGAAGTTATCGCCGTTTGATTCAAAAACACAGGTGCGTGCACGACGTAGCCAAGCATCGGTGCAGGCTTTGAGAATGGAGTGCCTCCCCGAATGAAAGCACCAGCTTGTTCAATTCTGAGTCGAAGTTCGTCAACCGTATGCACTTCAGTTTTATACACTAAACGTTTCATTTCTCCCCAAAGAAAAAATCACATGGTGTTAAGTCTGGAGATCGCAGAGGCCACGCTGCTGGTCCATTACGTCCAATCCACCTATTCGGAAATAATTCATTCAAAAACTTACGCACTTCGCGTCTAAAATGGGGTGGTGCACCATCGTGCAGAAACCACATTGATTGTCTTACACTTAATGGCACATCTTCTAACAAGGAAGGCAAAATGTTGCGTAAAAAGTCTAGGTATTGCATCCCGTCCAATCGGTTTGGGAGAATAAATGGTCCAATGAGCATACCGTTCACCATGCCAGCCCAAACATTCACCGAAAATGTTTGTTGAAAATGTGCCCGACGGACTGCGGGTTCGTTTACCTCTACTCGCGTGACCGTAACCGTCGGTTAAAGGTTGCATACTGACCTGACACACTGACCCCGACCCAGTTCTGTCGTCGGATTGAGCCAGTGACCTTGTACCACTCGGTGATGTCGCGGGTCGCGGCTACAGGACGGTATTCAGATATTTTTGATGTTGCAGAGCCCTTTATCTCGGTTCCCTTAAGACATTGTTGTATATGGTTCTAAGAAAAATTGCTTATGTTTTCAAGATCTACACGTCGTGTAAAGGAAAACCCCTACTTTGCGGACACCCTGTATTTCTGACGTCGATGACAGCTAGTGATAAACCTTGAACGTTCCTCAAGAAATCGTCATAGTTTCACTTGTTTCCAAGGAGACATCCATTGTTTCCAAGAAAGCCTCAATGTGACTCTAGTAAGGTACTTTTGACACCAAGATACAGCAATTTGCTCCATTTTATTGGAAAAACGGCAGCTTTGGGCGTATAGCAAAGCGAGAGCGCCCCACTCTGATTCCACCCTTGGAATAAACAGTGACATAGCTTTTTGTATTAGAAAATATACATTTTTTATGCTAAAGTAGAGATCTCTTCTCTCGACCCTGCGACATACCAAGTCATCCTGATCCATTTTTAGTTGGATTCCATTTATGACTCGTGACAATAATAACTTTCGGCGGGTCATAAATCAATGGGCGTGGCAGACAAATCTACAAAAAACAATTCTTTGATAACATAGTAACAAAAAGCTGTTGCAAATATCGACACAGATTGAATTTCCTTGGATAAATGTAATCCCAAGCATTATCACATGTTTTGTAAGCTTTTTTTCTTAAACTTAGTCTAATATGATAAATGATGCTTAACATTCTCTTGTGTTTTTCATTTCGCTTTTTCGTCCCACACATTGATGAATATCTAAATAATAATCATATTAACGATCCAAGTAATTTTTTTTTATAATTTCAAATGCTTAATATATTTTCAGGAAGAATAGATATAGAAGAATCCTGAAATCGTTTTAGCAGTTTGTGTTTGACTCAACGATCTAGGTGTACCTTCCTATTTATTTAACGCCATCCAGAATTAGAATTTTCCAGACGATTGTTGAATTTATGCTTAGTTGCCATTCAGTGTTTTTAATATTACATATATGTTTAATGAGGAAATGTTATTCGTTGTCCAGAATCGAAACCATGGAATCGAATCACCAAAGGGCAGCTCCTGCAATCTGGATTCAGGAAAACTCGTTTGAAATCTGGCAACACTGTCTCGTACAGATACTGCCGCAGTGCCGCTCCCGCAGTTTCGACTCGCCGTCGTTCGATATCGTAGCAAAACAAATAACAAAAACAAATATGAATCAGTTGAGTTTGTATATATTGTATTTCGAAGGACGATAAAATAATTAATAATCATATGGAATTATGGAATAAACCGTTAGTCGATTAATGATACATTGATATTGATAAGGGATTTTATCTAAGTAGAATTTAGTACTTGAAATCCATAGAAATTTCGCGAATCTAGAGGATCCCATCTCTTTGTTTGAATGTCGTACACAGTGGCGGGTCTAGGATCTGGGGCGCCCGAAGCACAAAGTTTGGAAGGGGGTGTACTGCAACCTTATGGTTATAGATACAACTTTTATAACTTATTGGTACTTCCAGCTCTAAATTGTTTTGAGAACTTTTTTCCATCTATCATATTTAAAAAACCCTAACACAAAAATCAAAAATCCAAAAGTTTTTCGAAAATTTGTCAGCCCCTGACCACCGAAGGATCTGGAAATGACCAGTAGGCCAAGAAATCAGTAATCTAAGTCCAAATGTTTGTACATATTAGAATTTTTATGTTGAAGGTGTTCATTTACTGGACTGATATTCATGTTCTACGTTCCTCATTCACCCAAAAAATAAATGTTGGTCGAGATTGCAGAAGCGCATCAATTTGACTAAATTTTCAACAGATCTGGAAAAATAAGACGAATTCGGATGGGGGCGGCCCTATCCGCTAGACGCCCAAGCTGGACATTTTTTAATATAATGGCATACGGCTGTATTTTGGTGCAAAAAGTACCCTGTTAGAACCGAATTATTGAAACGGCGTGGCATTTGCTCTCAGAAGCGTTGCTCAAACATGCAAGTCTATACATTTATATTGCATTGTTTCTTGCCAAAAGTCTAGTTTTAGAGCCTAGTTTTGGGTAATTTGACAAACCAATACATTGGCGGACATTCTTTTCTCTGGAAACGATAGTCAAGTAGCGGTAGTATTCTATCCGTGCTGGATGTACTCACGCTACGCCAACGGGCCTTGCGATGTGCCTGCCAGACAGACCCGCCTGACTTCGGCCTCTCATCCTAACCGTGTCGAACATCGTACAGCCAGAACTGGCCGATACGATCGCTCCCTTGCTCTTATGGTATCGAGATTGTGGAACAATTTACGTGAGGAGGCATTTCCCAGTTCTACTAAACTAGGGCAGTTCAAAAATCGGTTAAACAAAGTTTCTTTAAGTATCCACCAAAAAACATGGTTTTCCTGCAATATTTTGCATATTTCAATGTCATTGTTAGGTATAGATAGATTGAATAGATAAGTATGCTTTATTGTCTGGCGAATACATTCATTCTTAATGACGAATCTAACTTAAAACTAAAGTATAATATAATCACATAAGTGGACCTTAAGAAGTGAATTATAATATAGTTTACATATTAAAAAGTTTGTAATTTTTCAGATAATTTTAAATATTGTCTTGCAGAAGTATTGTGGTATGGTCAGTGAAAACTAGGAACTTACCATTTATGCTTTAGTTTAATAAGTCGTTCATACAGACTAAGAATAGGATCTTAATACTGATCCTTGAGGTACCCCTGTGTTTATTTTTAATTTATTTAAGATATGAGATGAAATATGCCTTGATAATTTGGGATCTACAGCCATATTTGTTTAATATTTTTTTAATAGCATATCATGATTTACACAGTCAAAAGCTTTGGAAAAGTTACAAAAAGGAGCTATTGAAATTTGTTTATCGTTTAAATTTAATAGAATGGTATGGGATCGGTCTCTTATCTCTGGACGAACAAACGAAAGCACCAGAATCGAACCATTAAACCATTAAACGGGAACTGCGATGGTTCCGATTAATAGCAGCGGTGCGCGATCTACAATGGTTCGCGCTATCTCATGCTTGAGTATAACTGTTGAAGTAATGTGATAATATCATCCATGGTACTTTTTTTTGGAATCCAAATTGGTTGTCACTTATAATTTTGTTGGTTTTCAGAAAGCCTCTTAATCCTTAGCCTCTAATTTGGATTATTATTGCTATAGCAGTGAAACATATTCTAATGGAGTCTCACCATTCAGTTCCTAGAAGCAATCAAATATTGTCACTTACTCCAAAATTGTACTATATCGCTCTAAAACCTAGTTAATTCAAACTATAGTTTCACCGCTATTAGCCCTGCGTGATTGATGCTGTATTTTTATAAAAAAAAATCGCATACGTGCTCCTTCTACCTGGTCCGAATTCGTTGAATCCAACCGATTTACGCTAGGTAAATCACTTGCTAACCTGCGTCGATTTTTTGTTTTTTAACTATTGTTCTATTTTCAGGGAGATCCTGATGAAAGGCGGTTCTGCGGTAGATGCTACCATCGCGGCAATGTTTTGTAATGGTATCGTAACTATGCAAAGTATGGGTCTGGGAGGAGGTTTTCTGATGACTGTCTACATCAAAGAAGAAAAAAAAGCCTACAGTCTGAACGCCAAAGAAAAAGCTCCTATTAATGCAAAGATGGAACTTTATGATGATGCTACGAAATCTAAAAATGGTAATGTTTCAGTCAGAACTGCCTAATAGAAAATATAAATTCACAAAACAGGATTAATTTTACTGGGGGTTAATGAAATCTGACTTTAGATTAACTTCGTATTGACGTAATATGTTGCATTAACAGGTTGACTGCCAAGGCGGGCGTATTTTTCCTATTTTGCCACTGTGGTCGTATACGACTGCTATCATACGGTGCTACATTTATATTTTCTGTGTGCCAGCGCGAACTGACTATCAGTATAAGTAAGCGATTCGACCGCTGTGACATACGGCACGGGTAAAAGTGACATTATGCCGATTTTTTTTTGACATTATGCTGTTTTTTTTTGACATTATGTAGGTTATTGTACAAGATGTTAACTTAGCACTTAGTTGTACGTGTTGCCTGAACGTCATGTGGCTTGTTATCAATCTTTGGCTCTGATGTGATGTAAAATCTGCTTCTGAGATGGCATTACTGGAAGTCTAAGCTGTAAGTTGTATGTGTTGATGATAATTACATTGGGTTCTTGTCTCAAATACACTTAATTGAGATTCCATTCTGGAAATTACATATACAAATTTTCTGAATTTCAAAAATGAGAGAGATAAATAATTATATTCACTGTACACTATCGAATCACAAGCCATATACATGCGAACAGTAATTATACACCACAACGCGGGCGCGGTGATGATTTCCCGAAATTCTCCTCAGTTTTTCGTAATTTATAACTTTGAACATAACCTCTCTTCAGAAAGCACAACATATAAATTACCCGTCATATTCGACATATTCAGTAATGATTTTCACACAGCAAATATAACTGATTTTATACACATGCAGACCAATACACATAAATCAAATTCAAGCGGATAACCAAATGGAAATGGTATTTACCATTTTGGGTTGGTATTTACCGATCCGATCAAGCGAGTGTAGTTATCAGTTTGTTTATAAGATCCGTGACGTCACGAATCAGCTGTTATATGTCATAGTTATCACTGCAAAATTGTGGTATTTCCCAACTCAAGAGTAGTTTTATATTTCTGGTTATTATCTGAAATGTGACAAGTTAGAATTTTGCCGGGTATTGGATATTGTTATTGTAGTTCAGCTTCATTTTTGAAAAAATTCAGTTTTACCATAAAGTGGAGAACCTTATTAGTTATACTCATTACGGTTGTTGGGGAGACTTTAAATGTAGTTCCTGTGCTTAACAAAGTATCCTGTGTAGCCATATACCACAAGAATATTAAAATATGGCCATATAAACTCACTAGATGATATCCACCTGTATACGGTTTTGCTAATTTATTTTTTCATCATTTCTGCTGAATCAATAAATGTTTTCTTTGACATGCGGAAAAATTCAGAGAATTGAAAGTTATCATAGCTACAAAGCCATGGTTCCATCATTTAAAAAAAATCTAAAAAAAACATTTCTCCCATGAATATTATGAAAGGTTTCTTATTTAAACTTTCCATATACAGTTGTAGACGAAAAAGCACCGATTATTAAGTGATAATAAAAATAATCAGAGATTATATACCCGTTTTTCTAAAATAAACAACTTGCAACAAAACCGCGGTTAAAACCAACGCGTTCAAGCGATTCGTGTAACTGACGTCATCAACCCGTGTGTCATCTTGAACCATATTATAACCGCAGCACATAACACAGAAATTTTGATTATTCGCTTGGATTTGATTATAATCATCCAGATGCGATCTTGCTATTCAACCAACTTTCTTCTCAGAGATAAAAACTACAGACCCGGATCACTCAGCCTCACAAAACTATGCAACCAATAATGCTTAGTTTAGTTGAGTGATTCCTCCATAGATGGACGTTCACAACGATCCTAGTAGGCAAACGTGGAATGACTATTTGCGCCCTAAAAACTACCTAGTCTGCAAGTTGACATCTTATAGGTTGTTTTTGACGTTTTTCAGGTTTTTTACATGATACCCGCACCGGCCTAGGCTGTTGATTCGAATTTCTGGATTCTGGAAAAAAAATTATAGGAATAAGTCAGTAGCCTACGTATAGAGTACTAGCAGATGTATTATTTTCAAATTGGCACCAGAGGATATTTTTATTTTTTTCCGGGCAGTCAACCTGTTAAAACCGTAGTACACTCCGCAAGACCGTTGCATGCAAGCTCTTGCACTTGCAAGACGGCATCGTTTTGTCTCCAAGAAAATCTCGTCCAATCTCTTGCAGCTGCAAGACGACCCTGTTGTCACGATTCAAACGAGCAAGGTTAGCCAACCTAAATGACTGAAATATTCCCCGTCACATTCATAACCTACAATTTTGGTTTTTTACTCTTCAGAATACATGATTTTAATATTAGAAACTATACCGTATTTCACGAGCATCCACCACGGTAGAATGACAGCTGGCGTTGACGGATCCATAAGAATTGTGTTATTTGTGTTATTCTGCCGTAATGGATACTCGTGAAAAAGATAATAAACAACCGTATAACCACACTAACCACCGGACCTGCCTAGGGTCATTTGCATTCATTGGTAACTTACATATAAGTTACGAACTATCCCACAAGAATTGCAGACAAAATTGCATAGAAAATCCAAGTGATCGATTTTAACGCAAGACCCCGGCAGTTGCAAGAAAATTTCAGGACGAATAATCGGCCTTGTTAGTACGCATGCGTCTGATCAACATTTCGTCGGTTTGGAAAAAAGTCACAGCTCAAAATTCATGAATACACAACAGGGCGGGCTGAAATAATGAATGGAAAGTAAGTTAAAGAGCGGGGGATGCTTTCTATCCTCGAAACATGTCCCCCAGAATATTATATCGCAAATTTGGGGAAAACCCCTCAGCACGGCAACCCTGTCAAAGCATCACTGGTATTCCAATTTTCGGGGTCGTTTTTACAGCACGAGCAGTATTGCCGTAGTTTCTTCATGCTTTAAACCCTATTTCACGAGTATCCATCACTCTTTGACGTCTACCGAGGTGAACAGCTCATCAACAAGTGACATTTTTGTGTTAATCTGCAATGTTGGCAATAATGAATAGGGTGTAAATCTAAGCTGTTTTCCAGTGGTTTTTAGTTTGAGAGTGATACGCTCCCGAACTGCTCCAGAAACGATGCATTGGAATACAACGTGCAATGGAACGGTACTGAGGCTGGACATTACTCAGTGACTCCGAGTTACTCAGAGTAACTCAACCGGGCCACTGGAAAACAGCTCTGGCAAATCTTGTTTGTAGCATTTTGTTTTTGTATGCAAATGAGGTTTTCTAAATAAACTTGCTTTTAGAAAGCACAAAACGAATATGTAGTGTACAAAAAATTAAAACAAAGTAAATAAGGCTCTTTCTACCTGGCATTGACGGATATGGAGATTTAGATAATCAGCTGTCATTCTACCGTAATGCATACTCGTGAAAAAGACTATATTGAGTCTTAAACTGTCACTTCGCGCTAACTAGCGGTTACTAAATAAACTGAACTTCTTATAATATTAATAAGATAATATTTGTTTGAAAATGGCAATCTTCGAATTGTAACAGTCTTCTTTCCAAGCGACGATTTCTCTTGCTGACTGCAAAACGGGTATTTCGAAATGGTTTTAATATGATCATTTTACTTATAGGGCCTCTGGCAATAGGCGTCCCTGGAGAATTAAAAGGCTACTGGACAGCCTATAAAAAATTTGGCAAGTTACCTTGGAAGGATCTAATTCAGCCAACTATCGAATTATGTGAAAGAGGCTACAATATGACTAGACATCAACACGATTCTTTGAGCAAGACTAATCTACACAATGATTCTAACTTGATGTACGTTGATATTTTTTATTTGAATTGACATATGGTGTTCCAGAATCTCTCGGCAGAACGTGGGATACAAAAAATAATTTCCGCAAGTCCCTATTAAAATATACCTTACAAATTTATATATTTTTTTAGTAAATATCAACCTTCTTACCTAAATTGACATTTCCGGGTTTTTTATTTCCAACACGTGGCGATGTACAGGGTGGCCAACTAAGAATGCGAGGTACTGTTTCTAGGAACCTATCCATCGTAGAGGATTGTGTCAAAAAAGTTATTACTAAAACGGCCAAGAGTAAAACCTGGAAAATCTTGAATCTAAAATAGTGATGTTTCAACATATTTTCTCACCTGTTAGTTAGTTACTATACTTCACCAAGCAGGGAGTTTCTTTTCTTCACTCTCTTTTTTGTAATCAGGCAAATTTGTATAGTCAACGCCAAACAAAGTGGCGTGCACGTCATCAAGGTGGGTGTGTTGAAAAATTTACATTGTTGCCAAACTTTTTGTAAAATAATAAAATTTATTATTTACATATCTAGGTTTATAAGCAATATTAACCTCAAATGAGAACAAAAATAATAGTATAATAAAATTATAGATCTGTACTTGCATAATCATTAAGTATGACAATTATTGATCAGATGACACTATGAAACTACCATATTTAATTGATAGCTTAAAGGTACTGAATAAAAATCCAAATGGGGTCCTCCAAATTTTATGCATGGTATTTATTTTACAGAATTCATACAGAAAAATGCATTCTAAAATTAGGTAAGCTACTGGTGTAAGCTTTTTCTGTACAATAAAGTTAGTCGGAGTTTCTTTCTTCAGCGCTGTCTGAATCTGAATCTTCATCACTCTCAAAGTTGATTATTAAAGGTTCGATGTCTGGTCGATCAAAAATTCGTTCTCTTTCATACCATTTAAAAATTTCTTGCTCAGTATGTCGAACACTATTTTTCCACATGTCTGGGAGTCTGGGGTAACCGTTTGTAAAGCCTCGTTCCACATATCCAAACAGTCTATTTCACTGTTACCATCTCTACCAATATATCTGTTATAGTAACCTTTTGCTATGCCCCAAATTAACTCAATAGGGTTAAATATACAATGGTAAGGAGGCAGACGAAGAACTTTGTGCCCATGTTGTTCCGCCAATTCATCAATCACGTATATTTTAGGTGGTTTGTTTCTAAAAAAGCAGTTATTTTAAGAATAGGAATAAACAAAAGAAATATAAACTGTCGACCAAAATATATATAATTAAGAAGCATTATGTACCGAGCAACAATACTCAATAGCTCTGTTTTAAACATTGTGTTTAAAAATGGTATGTTTTGATTTGTCAACCAGTCTTGGATATTTGTTTTGTCCATGCATTGTTGGGCACTTTGTTCAATATCATGCTGTGATAAGGGGCGTTATCCAGTATAATCATAGATGGACTCTCCAATTTTTCTAATAACTGATGTTGAAACCATTTCAAAAAAATGTCCTGGTTCATCTCTCCATGGTAATCGCTCAATTTTGTTTTCGAAGAAAATATCGCTTCACTACCCTCAATAAACCCATTTTCATTTCCAGCATGTAATATAATGTATCTAAAATATATTAGTTTTAAATTTTATAGTGCAAATTGTGTAAAAGTACATACCTTTTACCATCTGTTTTAATAGCTTTCACGCTTTTTTGGTTTCCATTTTGCCAAGAGCGACCTATGGTCCCATTTTGAAATATCCAAGTTTCATCGAGGAAGACAAACTGGTATAAGGCCTCAACCTTGGCTTGATTGTATTGCCTTAGAAATTCCACCCTTTTCAAAGCTATACTTGGTAGTTCCATGAGCCCTCGTCGCGGATTGTCCTTAAGCCACTTAAATCCAAGATCTCTAAGCAACCGCCTTAAAGACGTGGCACTACCATCAAATAATGCCCTATCTCTTAATCGAGACCATAAAGTTTGTATCGTAACTTGTTCTTCTGAAACCATGTGTAATATGACATTATAATTTAGTTAACAAATTAATGCAAATTTCTGATAAGTTATTATAATAAGATCTTACTTTTGTGATACATATTATAGATCACTTCTCGAATGGCACTTGTATCCAATGTCGCTGTGTTGGTTACACGTTTAATATAACTCCGCTTTTTCTTGGGCGATTCTAAATTTGCATCACTTTTCACACCCTCGGAAATACGACTAACTGTCCTCAAACTAATTTTTAAAGCAGCAGCAACACGCTACAAAAAATGAAATAAAATTTCACTATTATTAATATACATTACATATAATTATTAGTAACCTACCTCTTGAACAGCATTTAAAGGCAACAAAGGCCCGTTGTTGTCCCTTTCTTGCTCAAAGTAGTGCATTAACGAGGCCACGAGTTCCTTACACCGACTATTTAACTGTTTGGGCATCTTTATATACCAAAATTGCCTTTATCTACTCGTAAAATGAATAATTTTGTTTTGAAACAAACAGTTGTTGATTTACAGTATGCGGGGCCAAACGATTTATAAAGATTTGAAATGCCACAAATTGATTCAGTGTCAAAATTAATACAAATGTCAGTTCCCAGTTTAAATAAGTTTCAAGGTGACAATGTGTCAACGCTGCGAAATCGGTTTAGTGCGTTTACATGTCGATAAGTGATTGGAGCGTTTGCAAAACATTTTATTTCGCATAATGCGTCTAAATTTATCAGAAAGCAACTTATGTGATATTTTAATAACAATGTTTATATGACTATTAACCATAATAAGAGAGTAATGACTATTTTACAATTTATATATCACATTAATATGAAACTGCAATAGAGCAATTGTTTGTGATAGAAACCTAGGCATTAGGTCGGGGAATTTTTATCGTGATGACGTGCACGCCACTTTGTTTGGCGTTGACTATATATGCAATTTCCACGTTGAATAAGAAAAAGCAGATGCGCAAGTAATTTTTACTTTAAATACATCTCAAGAGTGTATTTAAGACAAGAAACCAATGGAATTATCATCAACACATATTATTAGCATACAAATCCTCACAGCTATAGTATACAACTTACAGCTTAGACCGCCAATAATGCCATCTCTGGGGCAGATATTACATCACATCAGAGCCAAAAGCTGAAGCATCATCACGTTTATGCAACACGTACAGCTACGGAACATTCAGAATGTCTCAAAAACCTATATAATGTCAAAAACCAACATTATGACTGTTTTCAAGTTACGTAATATCCCTACCGGTACCCGGATTTTTTTAAAAATTACTGAGCATATAAATATTCTTTTCCGCCTTTCAGGAGCTGGTTCAAAGATAAAGACGGAACCTTTAAAAAAGTGGGATCGAAAATTGTGCCTACCAAGCTATGCAAAACATTGAGACTGATTGCTACAAACGGGGGTAACGATTTGTACAATGGCACATTATCCAAAATGCTGGTAGAAGATATCGAAGAAATAGGAGGAATTATAACAAAAGAAGATTTGCTAAAATATGAGTAAGTTACTTTGACGGTGTCACCGGAATAAAAGATCTCTGTTGATCTCTGAAATTGAAAATAGGAGGTGCTAAATCTGGTGAATAGTGTGGGTTTCAAGCAATACGAAACGTAATTGACTGACTTTTGACCTTATTAGAGCGATTGTCTGAGCAGGTAGATTTATATATTACAGATCTATATAAAATTTGGGTACCATTGAAAGTAGCTAATCACCTGAAAGCTTTAATCCCAGTCCGTGCAGGGATACTTATTATAGCTGAAGTAAAATATGCTCGTTAGGCTCGTGTATCTACATCTATACCAACTGTAAATATTTGATGGGCCCAAACGACAAATCCTAGTAACCCAATTGCAATTATTCCTAAAGTTCCAAAAACTTCTTTTGTCGCTCTTTTTATCGAATAATATGGGAGATTATTCCAAATCCAGGTAAAATTTAAATATAAGCTTCAGGATGGCCAAGAAATCAAAATAAATGTTTCTCATAACTAGCTAGGTCAAATAACTTAAAACTCAAGCTTTCGATGGTCTATGCCATCATCATCAGGGGTAAGTCGGCGAGATTTTTGCTGAATTGTTGATGGAACCACATAGTAAAACGATAAAAAATTGGATGTATGAGGTTCATTTAGAAAAAATTACTAAAAAATAATAGCTATGTTTTTCAAAAACCCACTAACAGATTTAAAATAATTAAAAAATCATTAATGTTTGAAACTTTTATATCACATCTTTTTTGAACCTCCACATGTTCAACACATGCTCAGCAGGCCTACTGAGCAAAAAAGATGTGATATAAAATCAAGTTAAAAATAAACAAATAAAGCCAAGAAAAAAATAAAACGATTTTGTGAAAATTCTGTTTTTCCGCCTTTCTCCGGAATTTGAATTTCGAAACTTTCTAAGCGGAATTTTGTCAGTTACCTGAATAGGCAACTTTGCCCCCCTAAGCCACTTCGTATCTATTTTAGGGCCCAATGGCAACAACCAATTTCTGTGACCTTCAATAACGAAGACAGGTTGTTCTCAGCCCCACCACCTGGATCAGGAGTGCTTCTAGGCCTCATACTGAACATTCTGGACGGATATAATTTCACCAGGGCTAGCATTGACGGCGTGAACAATACAGTGTTAACGTTACATCGAATGATAGAAGCTTTCAAGTATGGATATGCTAAAAGAACAGAGTTGGGTGACACAGACTATAACGAGTTATCTAGGGTAAGAGACTAATTGTGCAAGGTTTCGCTCACAAGATACGTACAATAGAGAACACTTGAACCGCATCAAAGTAATTTTTAGTTATAAGGGTATCGTTAAAAAAAGGTAAAAATGGGTCAGTCGGAAACGTAAGCCCAATCATTCTTATAATACGTTTTTTAGGTCGCTGAAAAATGTCTCGTTTTGGAGATGCCTTCAGAAACTTTACACTTTGTCAAAAAAACTACTAATAAGAAATGTCCAAAAACTGTTGGGCGTCTATGATCTCGATGAGCTCGTTTTCTACTCTACTCTACTCAGTGCTAGGATTCACGGGTAGCGCCTGATAACTAGTTTTTTTTTACCAATTTTCCAACCCAAATTTGGTCCGATGACACTTTTTTCACTATGATACCCATATTCAGCGCCCAAAATTACCTTATTGTACTAAGTTTCGCTCACATGTACCCATTCATGATCAAAACGGACTTTTAACACCTTAAAGTCGGGAAAAACGCATAGTTTCACAATTTTGCACCAAATAATTAGATCTACATGATAAACGAGCTCAGGTACATGTGAAATTTTAAAACCTCAAATTGCATATTTGACCAATCTTTGGCACATTTTTCATGGTTACCAGTTAGCTATACCTATTTCACGAGTATCCTTTACGGTAGAATGACAGCTGATTATCTAGTAATATCTCAAAATTCCCCATATCGACAGTATCGACACAGGACACATAATTCTGACGGATCCGTCAACCACAGGTAGTCAGAGCCGTATTTTGTTTTGTTTTTTTTTTGTACACTACAGATTCATTTTGTACTTGCTAACAGCTCTTGTATTAGAAAAGTTGATTTGCATACAAAAAACAAAACGCCACAAACAAGTTTTGCTAGATTTATACCCGATTCATGATTGCCAACGTTGCAAACTAACATAAAAATGTCACTTGCTGATCAGCTGTTCACCTTAGTAGATGTCAAAGCGTGATGGATACTCGTGAAATAGAGTATAGACAGCCTCCACGTCAATTTTGTTCCAGGAGTAAAGATAATTGACTTATGAAATTCGAACATACCAAATTTCAGCGCGTTATTAGTTTTTTAACATAAAGTTCCTTGGGAATTGAAGTATTTGAATGATTTTTCATTCCATCTAGCTACTGAGCGATTTGACTTCAAAATCCTACGCAGAGGATATCCGAAGGAAAATCTCGGATAACTCCACATCATATGAACCAAAAGATTATGGCGCCGTATTTTACAGCAGCGAGGATCACGGAACAGCACATCTGTCGATCTTAGCACCAAATGGAGATGCTGTCTCTATTACCAGTTCTGTCAATATATAGTAAGTACATCAACCCGTTTCGTCTGTGTCCAAGTCTAGACCTAAGACCTATACCGCACTGATGAGTTACTAATAGTAAGGGAACAGCTCTGTCTGCGGTTGATCACGATTACAAAAGACGGAAAGCAAACACGTCCATTTCTCTAATAAGGTATTTTTGCATTTACAATACTTCCTCACCAGTGGCGTAGGAAGTAAAAATAGCATCAAGGAGCTTGACTTCCCATGCCACGCTGTCATCAGTTGATAAGGAATTATATTCAACACAACGTCTTAGATACAAGCTAGCTACGTACATGTAAAAACGAGAAATTAAATGGATCAAGTCAGTCAAACGACCCATACATTAGTCTATAGACATCTTTCATTTGCTTTTCCAATAGTACCGTTCATCTAGGCGCCTACAGCGTCCTTGTAAACATGTTGTTAGTGTTGAAGATTTGATTATCATTACACATGTTACACATTACAATATCAATTTTGTATAATTATGTTTCAACAGATTTTGGAGTCAATTTTCTGTAATTTTACATTCTTGTCCATTAAGATTACATCGGTATGCATTTTGGGTATTCATAATGTGATTTTTTAATTTCACCTTGATCATTTCTAGATTCGCACATTGTTTAATGCAATTTATTAAATTCAAATACTCCCTTTTGAAATACAGACCTGCTAGTTATGCTATTACGATTTTGCATATGAAAGCCTATACTGCCTCTAGTTCCATAGTTTTGATAACGACTATTTGATTTTGTGAAGTTGTTTAAATGTGGTGGGAATCAAATTGATTTTGTATTTTGAACGTGAAAATGAGAACTAAATAAAATATAAAATTATTTACATTCAACCAATCCAGTTCGTCTAATTAAGTCGAAATCTTACCATATTTGTTTTGTTTAAATGATTCTCATACCTTTATTTTGTGAAATCTTTAATTTTTAAAATACATTTGCATTTGCTATGAACAAAATAGTTGAACAATATAAAAAAATGTGAAGAATTATGGTGTTAAACACATTTTTTTTTGAATACATACTGAGATTATGGGAAGCTCTATAGAAGGAACTTATCTTCCAAATGCTCTTGAAACAGTAGTTTACTATCCACATATATACCCAAATACTTAAATGATTCGACTACAATGTTTTCATCACAAGTCATGAGCCTAATTGTATTTGTTACCTAAATGTTTTCCTTTTGTTTTATTAGTGTTTATTAACAATTAACAAATTCATATATTTTCAATATCATCTTTTATCATGTATCGTCGGCAAATATTTGAATTTTGCAGTGTTCCAGGATGTCAGAGATATCGTTTATATATACCGAGTGTTTCAAATTCCACCCTCACCATTGGGATCCCGGAAACGGTAAGACATACGAAATCGCTTAAATTTAGACAAAATGCTGATTAGACAATTTCAAAATTCAAGGTACTTCCGGAGAGAAACGAAAAAAAGAATTTTCCAAAAATCGTTTTAGTTTTTTCCTACGAAACAAATGAGTCCGATGATTTCAAGGTCTACCTAGGAAATTCTCTTTTCTGAAATAACTAAAGTCTGGCAATGTCAATGTATATAACATATTATAAATTTTTTGAATCAATCTATTCACCTGTGCAAAAATCCAACATGGCTTCCGTAAGAGAAAATAAAGTTAGTGCTGGGGGAGAATAGACGAAACATCATTTTGAAATTCGTATTATGCCATCTTGCAAAGGGGAAAGTGGCAACGTTAATGTGCAATGTGTTTAGAATTCCCACTACAAATAAAGTCAGGAAAAAATAAAATCGATTTTGGGAAAATTCGTTTTATTCCGGAAGTACTTTGAATTTCGAAACTTTCATTTTGTTAGTTACCTAAATACGCGAATTTGCTCCCCATTTAAGCGATTTCATATCTCTTACCGTTTCCGAGATCTCAATGGTGATAGTCGAATTTGGAGCACCCGGTATAATGAATAGTAATGGGCCTAATTTACCCCTGAGGCACCCCTACTGATACATTATGAACGCTTGACATAATTCCAGTTTTAATTTTTTAAATCATATTAACTAAATTGTAACTGATCACATTTTCCAGTTTCGGGTCAGGTCATACGTCTAGACAAACAGGTATAGTATTGAACAGCGTAATGGACGACTTTTCTTACCCGAATTTCAAAAACTACTTTGGTCTGATTGGATCGCCCGCCAACGTAATGGAGCCTGGAAAACGACCGTTATCCTCAATGTGTCCCACCATAATCATAGACAAAAACGGAGAGGTAAAAATGGTCGTGGGGGCTTCTGGAGGAACCAGAATCACCTCGGCCGTAGCTCAGGTGAGGGTGCCAGATAAAAATATGTAGAATTTATTTCACTTCTACGACAGTTTACGAGATCTGTAATTTTTTGTATTCAAATGTAATTACAATTTTATATTGTCATTCTCAAAATAACTAACTTCTGAAGTCACACAGTGCTGGAGACGGTTCTGCTACTTCTCATAGCAGTGCTGGGACTCCGATACTGCCTTCAGCTCTGGTCGGTTACAGCCGTTTGAATGTTTTTGGACTGTTCCAAAATGAGTTCCCTTGAGATGATTTTTCAACTTCGGAAAGAGCTAGGGATGTTCCGATTCACGAAAAATATCGATACGATGTATCGATTCGTATCGTCGTATCGGAGGTAGAGATACTCTAAAATATCTTAATATAAATATCGATACCACAAGTATCGAAACCTTTGGATACGGAACATGCACTGCCGAAAATCGAAGTTGTTTTTTCTACAACCCCAAAATAATGTTTACTTTTTTCAACTGCATGACTAGTTTGTCAAATATGTTCACTACTAAAAATAGGTAAAAAACCTTACAACTGAATAGCTTACATCCCACCTAAATTCGATTTCACGAAATTCGTAGCTCCAAAAATCACTTCTTCTATAGGAAGCATCATTATCACAATAATGTTTTGTTTTAAACTATAATGTTCAATCAATTAATACTAAAAACAATGTGACTCATGTGTGTGCAATTTCCCGAATCCAATAGTATTGCCAGGTCGTTAAATCCCTAAATTCAGGACTTTTAAAAAAATCCCCAAAAAACACCATTTATATTTTGTCGGCATATGTTTACGATTTGTTACGTATTCCTGGATTTCAAAATATTTTTTTGAGCGACATATTTTTCATTTGTTTCGAATCGAAAGACAAATAAATACATACATAACAAAATACACCAAAAATATTCGCCGTTGAAATGAAAATCTTTGGGGAAAATCCCCTAATATCGCAACCCTGGAATCCAAAATAAATTGTGTGAGGTCGTGAAGTGAGTAACCCCAGCAGAAGGAAACAAAAGAAAAGTATCTGAACTTATTCACTCTTTCTGACACAATCCGTATCAAAAGATAACGATACTCGTGAAATGTATCGATACACCCAAGTGTCGCATACAGAAATATCGATTCAAAATATCAGGTATCAGAAGCAAAAGTATCGATACTTCTGAATATCGGATCATATCGAACATCCCCAGTTCTAGTTTGTACTGAAGGCGAATCACATGTTCTTCTGTCCCCCCACCAAGACCCAGTGTTGTCAGATCGAACAATACGTTGCCAGTCTCATCGTTTAATTTACAGACCTCGTATTTACACGACCTTCTGCGACACCTTTGCTAAGCAATGTGATGATGACCTTCACTCTTCTATCTCTTTCTAACATATGTCTATGTACATACACACTTCTCTCTTGTACACATGGAACTCAATTTGCTTCTCAGTGTAGAAAAATGCACCCTATACTATGTATAACACGAGAAGATATGCTCATTTCTAGAACGAATTTCGTCTAGCAATCTACAGGCCGTCAAATCGTTGAAGGACAAGCATCATTTCAATTCATTTCAGGTTATAATGCGTACCCTCTGGTTTGGAGATAACTTAAAGGAAGCTATAGATGCGCCAAGAGTTCATCATCAATTAATTCCTATGGAGACCAATTATGAATATGGGTTAATTCAGGTCAGTTTTTGAATTATTTTTAGCAATATGTTGAAGGATGTACATAAAACTAGTGTCGGAAGTGACCTTACTTGTCTTCACTTCGTTTCGTGGTTTATTCTAAATATTCAGTAAAACCGCATCTGCGAGTCAGATTCATAGACCTTCCTTGAGGCCCCCTTGATAACAGTAAAACAATGAAGCTTTCTTGAGGAACTTTCAAGGAAGAAATTCAGTTTTCATTCCACAGTAGGCTGTAACAGTTGACATCACAAGATGTGTCTTATTTGTGCTAAATATATCAATAAACAATGCAAAATAATAATGTGATTCCTGGAATTACAGCACAATCAGAAGTAAAAACTGAATATAGGCAACCAGTTGCACCGAACTGCTCTGTTGGTTGCATATTGTTTGTCTGATTCAAGTACTACAGTAATTCACAACAAAAAAAACACATTTTATACCCAAATTTTATATAATTATAAATTACGATGTGTGAGTATGAGAAAATATGGGTTTAGCGAGGAGAAGATGCATTTCATCGAGGTACTAGACAAATTTAAAGGGATTATTGCTAATAAAAACAGATAGCAGCCGAGCAGTTCGTTGCAATTGGTTGCCTATTTTCAGTTTTTTTACTTCTCTGCGATTGCGCTGTAATGCGAGGAAGCAAACACGTTACTATTTTGCATTGTTTATTGATAAAATTGCCCCAATTTGATCTTATATATACATATACATTATATATATCAAAAAGAAAATGATCATGTGGAGAAAGGTATATAACAAAAAATAGGAAAATAATGGGCAAAATCCGCAAAAAGGAGGAAAGTGGATTGGAGCAGAAAATAGGATAGGTAACCCGAGCGATACGTATTTCTGCTGGTTGGCTTCACCAGGCCCGAAATGTATGCAGATATGCAACTACAAAAGTAGGCATGTGTATCTACTTTTGTAGTTGCATATATATATATATATATATATATATACGGTCGGCAAAGTAAATCATCCTGATAACAATGACAGCTTGTCTACTGTGAAATAAAACTTCAAATCCTCTTTCGAGCGATCCTCAGGGAAGTGTCATTGTTTCCCAGGAGAAATCCAGTGTTTCCAAGGAAGCGTCAAACCTTAAAAAAGGATCAGACTCTTAGCGCTCGCGTGGAATTGTCTACATCTAAACGAGGTGTCGAGTTTGCCTCAACCGTCATCGGTATCAAGCGTTTGATTTTCACGCAGTTGGATGCCACGCAAATTGTAATCACCACTTGGCAAAAGTGGAAGATCATCAAAAAAACTATGTACGATGTAGAAATATACAAGGTGTTCCATTCGACATTGTTGAGAAAAGGTACATTTTGCGTTTTGAGATACCCTGTATAAATAGGAAGAAATGTCAGAACTTTTTACAGATTAGCTTAAAATCGATGATAAAATTTTTGTGAACTAACATTTATCTAAATATCTTCAAAAATGGCGGAGCTGCAAGCCGTCAAAGCTGGCCATATGTTAAATGATATCAGACTTCTTGTTTTTAGAAGCTCTCTTGGAATATGTTGCAATAAAATGTTCTATTAAAGAGATATATGGCATGAAACACCCTGTATACATAAAATAATTTTTAAATATGCACAAGTAACATATCAAGGTTGCCACTAAAACAAATTTTTATATCTTTTCCAGTTTGCTCATAAAACTACTTTTCATTTTCATTGTGTCACCCTGTATATTGCTGTATCTCAGTGTAAAATTACCTTGCTATACCTGAATCGTGAAAAGTTCCCCTCTAGATGTATCCCACCCCCTGCTCTTCAAATGTCCCAAGGGCATTTGCTCTGAGGTGATGCTTAAGTGCTCAGTTTTTTCATTTTTTATTCAATCGATATTTTTTTATTTTACAGCCAATCGTGGACGGTTTAAAAGCTGTAGGCCATCACATGATACGGGATGTCAGCAGAGGAAGTTCCATCATTTGTGGATTACTGAGAAAAGCTGGAAAAATCATAGGCAACGCCGATTGGAGGAAAGGAGGCGATGTATACGGATTATAGATATCCACATCGTATAGACAAACTCATGTAGAACAAGCCGGAGTGCATTTTTTTCATATCGTTACTTTTATCCGTTAGATTGAGATTAATTTATCGCTTATTTTTTCTTCCGTCGTCATATCACATAGCAACCAATGAGACTTAAAGAGATCAAGTGATATGTTTCACTGTTACAAGATGTGTATAGAACTGATTTGACTTATTTTCAAATCATGTATAAAGGTATTAATAATAAATTATGAACGCCGTTTTATTTGTTGTATTATTACGCGTAATTTTAAAAAATATATAAACTTACATCAAAAATACAAATAAATTCATTGATTGCTCTTGGTAATAATACTGGAAATGAGTAACATGGTTCTTGCCAGTAGGCGTGTGAAGTAAAATGACATGAGGAATAACATCAAATAACAGCATCTAGACTTTAACTGTCTAATAATAATTGACAGAAATCTTTAGTATCTCTCACTTTGTACTTTTTGCCCTGGGATGGTGTAATGCTTTCACAAAATAACCTCAATAAGATAAAGATGAGTTGCAAAGGTATTTAATAGACCTTGTTGTACAACATACAAAAATAAAGTTCTTCACATTCAAATAAATAACAAACGTAACTGGAAACAACGAAAATAGGCAGCAATAAAACAGGAAATTCGTGTTGCACCTACATGGTTTATGAACTTTCTGGAAAAAGGTTACCAAGCTCTGGGTTATGCCTGGAAGCTTTCCCAATATTCCAATCGAAAAAATATCCAAATGAAATATTGCTTCGTCTGTTTGTACTTCAGTTGAGACTGAAACAGTAACTAAAAAGTTAGCAAAGTGTTTGCTCTCAACAGGTGCTGTTTCATAACTAAATACAATAGAAAATCAATGGCGCATACAATTCACCAATTTTTAAATAAACTACGAGTATGCTCCCCTCAAAAATAAGTTTTATATACGCCAAGAATATAACATTATTATTGGTTTAATTTTGGGACCATATCTCAATGTAGGTGCCTCACAGTTACTGAAGTAAATCACGTGCCTAGTATAAAAATAATAAACAATAATATACTGTAAATACTATCCAGGCTGCTCGTGACGAAGCTTAATTTTCTTCGCTCTGGATACTGTATTCTCATCGTCAATATCTAAATTCTTCAGCTGGCAAAGTGCTTTCCTTAACATACTATCTACTCTAAACTGCATCAGAGAATCCTGAAAAAAAATAATACTATAATACAATTTTCACCCCCGAAGTCACACGAGGAGCATAAATGGCAACATGCAAACATCATGCAGTACATTGTTGCCATTCCGCTACCTAAAATATACTGACTATACTATAACTATCTAAAACTGTAATGACTCATCGATGTTCACGTGAACATCACTTAACTACCAGTAGTCATAGGCGGGGGTATGAATGTTTAACATGGATGAACTAGATTTGTCACATGCTTAATAAAGAGTGGTTTGAAACATATTGTAAGTCAAAAATTTGGGAATTACCTTTATTCATCGTCGCTTCCACTTACATCTGACAGTAATAAACTGTCGCTATCGCTTTCCTCGTTGAAATTGACTATAACTGGCTCTATGATGGTGTCGAGGTGGTGGTCAAGCTGCCACATTTTTGTTTCTTCCTTCACAACATGACGGATAGCATTCTGCCAAGCTTCGGGCGTTACTAGCTGTATGGAAGTCTCAAGTAAAACCTTAACGTCTGGGAATTTGAAGGTTGTGTTATGGCGCGCAATATAACCCTTCACTTGAGCCCAGATGAGTATTGGGTTCAGTTCACAGTGGTAGGACGGTAACCGCAGCACAGTGACACCACATTGACGGGCCATCTCATCAGTCACGTAACTAATGTTCGCAGGTTTGTGCTGTTTAATTTTTTCATACAATTCCGCTTTCACACATGAATCGTCAAACAGGATTCCTTTTTCGCGCAACCATTGCTGCATGTCACTTTTTCGAGATCCCATAGTCGGTACACGTTCGGCTCGACGACTATGGTAGGAAGCATTATCCATGACGATCACAGAGTTGGGCTCAACTCGCTGAAGCACCGCTTGAAACCAGCTCTCGAAGCAGCTGGCATTCATTTCGTCATGGTAATCACCTCCTTTCTTAGAGACGAAAATCAAGTCACACTCTTCTAAAAAGCCACTATCGCTACCAATATGTGTTACGATCAATCTTTGACCTTTCACTGACGGTCCACGAAGACCTGTTGACAAACCTTCAATGCTTGCTTGTCGGTTACTCACTACGTTTTTGTCTATCCAGGTTTTTTTAACTGTGTGACCTGCATTTACCCATGTCTCGTCCAAAATATAGATTTTTCTGCTTTGTCGCCTATATTCAATCATTTCGCGTAGGTATTTTCGACGCCAGGCGACTATTTCAGGTCTCTCTATCAATACTGACTTCCGATTACGCGTTTCGTAACGAAAATTAATTTCGTGCAGGGATTTCTTCATTACCTCGACGCTCATTTGGGGTATAATTTCATTTTCCGTGATCGCTGCATGTACAGCCTTGAGGGTTGGTATCTCATTCCTAAAGAAGAATGAATGTACGGTTCGCCTTAACGCCATTTTGCTATCGTCATCCAATTTAACGGGCTTTCGTCCCTTCAAATTAAACTTTGGATCAGTAGTAGCTCCAGTTTTCTTCTTTTCATGCACCACCCTGCGAATGGTCCACTCTGGAACGCCTGTCATACTTTCACAACGCGCGAGTGCATCTCCCTGCGACATAGTTCTGTTCAGATAATTGAACACGTTGCTCACGATTTCTTTCGCGTCCCTCTTCAGTGCTTTACGAAGCCGTCTACTTGTTCCCTGGCTTTTTTTTTGTTTTATTTGTACTCTCCATGGTTAAGTATAACCAAAACAGTAACCACAGAAACCACAACAATAACAATCACACAACAATTCTTATAAAAACACACAATATGCGATCGCTCAACGAAACACGTTCCAATGCGTTGCCGACGCCTATGAGTCTGCCGGTCGAGGCGCGTCTTTGATTTCATTGGTTCGACCGGCGGAGAACAATCAGCCATTATTTCCATCTCTGTCTGTGCTATTGACCGCCGCAAAGCCACAGAAACGACATATGTCGTACGCTATACGGCTGTACTGGAAGGAAGCCGGGATCGAGCTCTGATCACGTGTTGATCACGCGTATGAGTCATTACAGTTTTAAATAGTTGTAGTATATATAACCTTGACGATGATACATTTTCCACGAAATCAAGAGCATTTACAATTACCTGTTTTATCCAGGGATGGCTTAAAATTCCATCAACCGTAATTCTCTTTCGTGGATCCACAATTAACATTTGCTTGATCAGATCTTTTGCAGATTCGGAAATTTCATACCAGGCAGGTCCAATCATACTGTAAGTGCCGGAGATAATCATTTTGCCTAGAGTAGACTTGTCATCAGAGCTAGAACAATAAATTCAAAATTCGTGTTAAACTGACATGGTTTTCATGCTGATAGAACTCCATGTTTCCTGTTAGTTAAATGAAACCAGAATGAACAATGCAGATGCAACATTAGTAGTCGAAGATTGCAGAACACTCAACCGCAGGGGTATTACGTGAAAAATAGACATAATATCATTAAAAATCGGTATAATGTCAATTTGTGTATTGTCTCTAGCCCATTCCGCACCTACTCGCTATGAGCGCCACCTATAGAGGAATGGCCAAAAAAATTCTTTCCGGCAATCGTATACATACAGCTTAGGCCTTAGAAGCTATTAACCCAGATATTACTGAAACTTTTTGTTTCTCAATATTTGCTGATTTCTTAGTGAGAGTACAGTAAATCGACTCTATTTCAACAACCAAAACCAGTTTATGAACTTTTTTTATCCCTAGCTAACGGTTACGAGGTGTTGTTTAAAAAGGACGGTAGTGAAATGGCCTGCTGATAGCACAAATTTTATTTCAAGGACACATATTGCAAGACAAAACAAATAGCTATTCGGTGTGATACAGTTCGAAACACGTTTTAGGATGTAGTGGAACACTACATTTTCTACAGCGTAAATGAACTTTTTTATGGCAATCGCCACAACTTTGCAGGTTCTCTTGATAAACTACAAGGTGATTGAGCCCATCATATCTAGAATAAGCACACTTACATGATCACTATTTGTAGAAGCACACTGTATAAATGTCGATATATGGCTCAAGCGATACGTATGGGACTAAACTGAAGTAATTGGTGGTAGTTCTAATGTTCTTTGACAGAGCACGGTGGCGATACCTTTTCTCAAATTACTGAAACTCCTTACAGAATCCTTGAATCGCAATGCCTTTATAAAGGACGGTAGTAGTATCTGGGTTAATGGCCCCCACATTTTGTTTTTGTTTATTGAAAATTTATTTAGCATTAATGCTACAATGTAAATTTTATATAATTGTTCGTTTATACATTTTTTTAATCTATATTTAGTAATTTATTGCCTATCAAACTTGTCCCATATCTGAAGCTGATGTCACATTAGGAATGCATTCAGATGTTTTTAGGCGCAAAAAGATAAAGCCCTCGGCATCCTGACGGTTGCCTTTTGGTTGTATTGTCCTAGAGAAAAATATCTGAATGGTACGGTGTAATTCAACAGAAATCACGAAGTGTTTTTTTTTATCTTTCCCTCGTTGTAAGTAAAAATGAACGACACTGTCATCATTCAAAACCATTAAATGTCTTCTGTATTTAATACTAAAATTTGCCTTGGGCACTAGAAAAGGGAAGACAGGTTTTTAATTTTCTTAGGACACTATAGTTTCATGGAAAGAAACCTTATATACGGAAACTAGTTTGTAATCAAAAGCATCATAACAAAGCAACAACACAACGGATACTGCTAAAAATAACGCACTTCCGACTGATGTGTTTAATAACGACAAAACGACAAACAGCGACAAAACAACAGCTAGTTTCAAGTTGACATCTTATAGAAAAACCTATGCAGGGCGACAGGTAAATAGGTGTAAAACATTTTAGGAGGTGATAGTACAGCTCCTTTGCTATCAAAGTTAGTATATAATACCATACCCTATATTCAAAGGTTAAAAAGTTATGGAAGATTTAATTTTTTTAAAAAACAACCCAGATTACAGAGTAAAATAGTTGAGATAAAAAAAAGTTGGTGATTATTCTTTTTTTGGTGGTTTCAGGTTATTATTTAAATAAATAATTCTCATAAATTAAAAAACATATGAAAACACTACTGAAAACGTATTTATTTTCATTTA